CATCTCGCTTGCACAAAAACAGCTTCAGTATTCCTCAAAATGCATAAAATAGCAGTATAATAACAGTGAAATTCAAACTCAGAATATGATGCAAACCTGCAATAATTAAATATGTTAATAATTGAATTTACATTTACTTCAGCCTGAGGCTCATTCATTTCACTTTTGGTGTGAAAGGGCTTTTACATATGCCAAAAATACACATTTTTTATATTAAAGCAAGCAAGCAAGCCCAGCCCAGATTATAAAAAGTAATACAAAAGTAACGTAACACATTACTTTCCATAAAAAGTAACTAAAGCCTGTGTTATACTTTCCGCGTCCGCGAGTCCGCTAGGGTCCGCTATGGTATGAGTGACGTAAAAATCGTCATCGGAGAGTGTGCGCGGAGGTTCCGCGCGGACATCCGCGTGCCTCCCATTTTTTGTGACCAAGTAGGCTACTGCGCATGCGCAGGCTGTGTGAAGAAGCCCGTTGCTACTCGAACCTGTACAATCCGTCGATAAAACAATATAAAGACAGCCAGATGTGCAATAACTCTGGGCAATTCTTTGTTCACATGTTTGTTTATTGTTCAAGCCGATCTACTACGCATGTATGGAACACGTCCGCGGAGCGGACCATCAGCGTATGCTTTCGGAAGTATAAATACAAGCAGTCCGCGTCCGCGCTGTCCGTGTACGCGGCCGGATTGCTCATGCGGAAAGTATAACACAGGCTTAAGTAATGCCATTAGTTACTTTTTAGGGAGTAACTCAATATTGTAATGCATTACTTTTTAAAGTAACACTGCAAGGGAAATCCACAACACTTGGTAAAACTAAAAAAGCTCTTGCAACAGAAGCTTTTGTGATATCAGTCACATTAAATTAGCTTTAAATAGCCTTAAATTATTTGAGTCATACACCACCATTCAAAAATGTGGAATCAGTAATTTGGTGAGCAGAAGAGGCTTCTTTCAAAAACATTATAAAAATCTCACCAACCCCAAACTTTTGAAGGGTAGTGTATTAAAAAAAAGTATATATTTTAAATAAATAATATTCAAAATGATTTGTTACAGTGACTGTGATTTATGTGATATATTAAAACATGCAGGTGATGTGTACAACTCATCAATATTGTTTGTACAGCATATTCTAAAAAATTCAGAATTTGTTAATAGAAAGTGCAGAATGTCAGGTGATGTCCTTTTGTATAATCTAAATAATTTTAATCTTCTTGTAATGTAAACTACTTTTGAATATATAATGTATAACTATCTGTCACCTGATTTTGTCACCCTAGCTGCACCTGATCGCTCTCAACTCACCCCAGCTGGGCGACATGCAGGGTATTAAAGGTGTAGATCACCAGTGCTTCTTACAGGCCCAAGCCATTGGGTTAAAAGGAACGTTCAGGGCTTTCCTGTCATCCCAGTTACAGGATCTATACAGTATTGTTCGACAGAACAACAGGGAACTGTTACCCATAGTCAATCTTCAAGTAAGATCCTTCCTTTGTACACACACAACACTATTGTTTTACAGAATATACTGTAATCTCTTTAATACAGTCTTATACAGAGCTGTTTAATATGTTCACAGGATGAGGAATTATTCAGCAACTGGGAATCCATCTTTAGTGGCTCAGAGGGCAAGATGAATGATAATGTGCGCATCTATTCATTTGATGGTCGAGATGTTCTTGATGATGATGCCTGGTAAGTAGGTCTAACACATATCCACAGCTAAAATCTTAACAGAACTGATTAGTCTGATTAACCCATTTTTTTTTCTCTATAACCACTTTAATAGGCCAGAGAAGATGGTATGGCATGGATCAAGCACTCAAGGAAGCAGGCAGACAGACAGCTACTGTGAAACATGGCGAACAGGTAGTCATGCCGTCACTGGCATGGCTTCCTCTCTCCAAGAAGGCTACCTACTTCAGCAGTTGCCACGTGGCTGCAGCAGCTCTTTTATCGTACTGTGCATTGAGAACAGCTACATTGCTGAGTGAACCAAAATGTTTGCTAAACCAAAATTTTCCTTAAGTCACACCACAAACTGAAACTTAGTTTTTATGATTGATGGTGATACTGTTTATGTTAATTTACATGTATTTTAGAATTACATTTTGACTATTTTTTATGTATTAACTGCTGTGTGACAGCCATTTGTTTCAAAACAAACAATGATATACTTTGCTTTTTGCATCATAAACCTTACAACAAACATTTTGTCATAGCAGAGAACCTACAATGAAATACTTGAGCATTTAAAAATAAAATTGATTAAAGCTAAATTCAGGGGAAAAATTGCTGTTTTCTGTTTTATATTTTTTAACAAAAATGTACATATTATATTTTCACAAATAACAGGGCAGTATTGAACACCCTCAGGCAAAAACATTTATGTACAGCTTATTTTAAAATGGACATTCACAAGTGCCTTCACAATATATTGCCAAAGAAAAGGGCTACATTCCAAATTTTAATAACTAATTCTCTTTAAACTACTTTGTTGTCATAACCATTTTCATTCACCTTTGTATTTGATTTTATGTAAACATATCTATGTAACCTTTCTACATTTTTATACTTTGCAACATCAAACATTCCATGATGTAATGCAACTGACTGGTTGACTTTCTCTATAGAAAGAAGACGACTATTAATCAAAATATGTAAATCATTGTTTTTGTATTATTATTTATTTTGGTTTGGTTTTTACACATAACCTGAATACAGTTTTAAAGAGTTGCAGTTCTCTGTACTTTACAGCCTGCTGTATTCTGCAGTTCAAATGTGACCACTAAAAATATCCAAGACGTTATTACTTTTATCTTTACTGTATTTCAATGGCACTTACATTAATAAACAAACGTTATAGACGTTCTATTGTTTACTCATCACTGGTTGCTTCACTTCTAAAAATTCTGTAATATTTATTTGAGAAATAAATTGCTTGATACTCGTTGATACCCCATGAATACTTTCCGTACCCACTGTATATATATATATACACACACATATACCAACATTGCTAGTTACGCTCTATTTTTCTCCACCAATGAAAAGTCAAAGCAAGATGAACCATTGTGTCTTAGTGCAACACATTGTAGTAAGGTTTTGTTTCTGAATGAATTTGTGTTTTTGAGTGAACAACTTAACACACTCATAATAAGAAATTTGTTGTAACCTGGAATCATGTTTCCATCTGCAAACACAGACAAGCATAACACACAGTGATATAAATAGTGAAACCTCCCAGTGCTGCTGGACTTTCTTCCAGCAATCTTGTATAAAGAGTAAATAAAGTCATATTTAAAGTAGAGCCTGCAGCAGTCTAAATAAACAGACTTTGGTTCAAATCCAGAAAATCTGATCGTATCAGATTAATTTAATCGTGGCTACACTGACAATTTTTGGTGCTCAAACTCTCAATTTAAGGCTAGATTCCTCACGTCAACCTAGCATACACCTAATTTATCTTTCAACCAATATGAGAGAGAAAAAACAGTTATGAAGTGTTAGACAGGTCTGCAAAAAATACCAACCAATCCAACAATTCTCTGGATTTCTTCTGCAACTATAAAAATAAGCATCACTTATACATATTGTCATTTGTTTTCACCTTGGAATATGTTTCAATATCACTGAAAGATAAATAAGCTTCATTGGCAGCATTTCATTTACATCTACCTGCATCACTCCTCTGTCAAGAGATAGAACAAGCTAATCATTATCCTTGTAATTTAAACATTATTTCTTATCCTTAACATTAAATTATTTTTATTACATGAACATGACTTGTATTATAGAACCTATATAACTAGATCATATTTAGTCTTTTGTGTTAAGTCTGTTTTTCCTCCTGCTTTACATATTTTTCTTTGCCACTGTTGCTTTGTCTTGCTCACTGGGTGCTGTAGGATATTAAGGCATATGTTCCTGTAATGCTGGTTTGAAACTATTGGAATTTTACAAAAATGAAAATACAAAGTACACATAAATGGGAAAAAAAAAATTTTCTGATAACAATTTATTTGTAATTAGACATGGTCTGGAATTCCTAATGTGATCACACTATAAAAGAATCATTTTAAAATACAGTAGAACTAAGCAAGTGTCCTGTGAACAATCTTATTATCTTTGTGTGATATTTCTTTTATAGACATTCTAAAGTTAACACTGAGCAACTTCCATTTCCATCAAAACATGGTCATTCACATATTTTGTATCTTCAACGACGGCAAATATTTCCAAAAGCGCTAAATCATCAAACTTTGTGTCATCAAGCAATGCACAGACTGAAGTTTTTATGAAGCAATTTCCCATCCCTGTTCGTAACATTCTGTTATCACTCCGCGTTAGCAGCAACACTGTTTTCCATTTCCTACTCCTGCTTACTGGTGAGCAGAAACCCACCCTGAGCTATCCAGGAGATAAAGAAAACACTGACAAAAAAGGTCCTCACTCCAGAAAAAAATTTAAAATAAATCACCCAACCCTACCCAGCTTCCACTGGAGAGCAATCAGATAATCAGAAATAAGGACATATAACAAATATCAGCATTCCTTGATAACTGCTTGGCCAATCAATTTAGAGAACTGGAACTAAAGGCTGTACAGTAGTAATTATTTAAATTTCAATAATTAGCTGCAAATAATACTTCTGCCGTCACGGTACACTGAAGGCAAAAAGTAATCCTATCAGAGGCTAGAAAGCCAAACTTGCCATGTTTGGCTTCCAAACATTCCTTACAAAAATGATTTTACATTCTTTGCTCACCCTAACAAAGACAACCATATGAAATGACAAACGATAAAATCAAGGATCTGATAAAATCTCGATCCGAGACTACATTTTCCATTGGCATTCCATCCTAATGACAACCTCAACCATTATATTTACTTTCCACAAAATGTAATTAGAATTTGATGAGGTTTAAAAAAAAATAATCTAATGCTATTCCTAGCAATAGGACAAACATAAAATAATAAAACAAAAGGCTACTCATACTTAAAATAATAAAATGTTCTGATTTTGAAGTAACAGTTTAAGAGATGGAGAATTCCTTTGAATCTCATGTCTTAATGCTGGTTCCATTATGTGCCGTTGTGCCTTCACTAGCAGCCGTTGTCATGGGACTAAGTTCAGTGGCTATAGCTACTTCCGTAGTCTCCTCCTGTGCTCTTTGATTGCGGTAATGACATGTGATGATAAAGGCACTACAGCCCAGATAAACCACAGTCAGCAGAGTGAAGTAAAAGAAATAAACAAAAAACTGCAAGAGAAAGAGAGAAACAGAATCAGGCCAAAATCTTTCTGCATTGTAAGGTTATAATATAAAGGGAAACTTTCTGCATTGTAACATTACTGTACTTTCTTCTTCTATTAACAAGTTGGTGGTATCCATAACTGGTCCTGTTTTTCTGTGTAACTATTAACTGAAGTCAATCTAGAAAATTACACACCTGAGACTGAACATTCAAAGCCAATCCCCTCTTATCTGCCACAATGATAGTGATGATCGTTTTCAGGACTGTTCCAAGAAAAGTGTTTACTCCAAACACTAAAGCACACAGTTCTTTAGTGAGAGAGGAGGCAATCTGGAAACTGAGAAGAAAAACACAAAATGAGTTATTTAGGAACAAAATGCAGAGAACTGATGCATTTATTTTTCTTTGTTATTTAGTTTTAGTTTCATCAAAAGCTCCTCATGTGGCAAACTACAACAAACTTGCACTTCAAAGCAAAGGTCTTGATCTCCATGAAATAAGCTAATGTTTTCACAGGTGCATACACATCTGCTTTTAAAACAGTGACTTTGAAACACTGAATGCAATGTTTGCCAGTGTTGTTTAATGTCATTTTTAACAAAGATAAGACATTTAAAAATATTTTAAATAATAATAAAAATAAATCAATAAATAAATAGGTTTATATAACTCACATAGCGATTGGCACCAGGAACTGGTAGAAGCCTCTGAACAGGGCATATGCCACATAGCAAACCCAGATGTTATCTGTGATGCCCATGAGAAGCAGTAGTCCGGCCTGTACTGCAGTGATCAATCCAATCACCAGTTCAGACCAAAGATTCCATCGAATTTTCACATAGCCTGCCGCAAATGATGTGACTGCACCTATGGAGCACATAAAGTGTGATTGTCATGTAATACTCATGCAATGCTGATTAATTTTCGCCAAGTCGAAATCTGTTCATAAAATAGTGTAAACTGGTCTGAAAACTTTTGCAAACATTTTCTACTTTTGTGTCATGTAAACTAGTGATCTTCATACCTTAGCAAACCCAGATGTTATCTGTGATGCCCATGAGAAGCAGTAGTCCGGCCTGTACTGCAGTGATCAATCCAATCACCAGTTCAGACCAAAGATTCCATCGAATTTTCACATAGCCTGCCGCAAATGATGTGACTGCACCTATGGAGCACATAAAGTGTGATTGTCATGTAATACTCATGCAATGCTGATTAATAAACATCTATTTTCGCCAAGTCGAAATCTGTTCATAAAATAGTGTAAACTGGTCTGAAAAACTTTTGCAAACATTTTCTACTTTTGTGTCATGTAAACTAGTGATCTTCATACCGAATTCTGAAGAGCCACTTTCCTGTTGTGTTTAGCTCCAACTCTGATTACGTGCACCTGAATCAACTAATAAAGGTCTTTGGGTTTACTTGGAAGAAACTCCAATAAGGAATAAGCAATCCTGATTCGTATGTTTTGTGTTTTCCAAGCATGTGTCATGCCAAAGCTCAAAGGTTGAGGAACATGAACTTTGCTTGTTCTCGCCAAATAGTAAACCATCTTGTATGATGTAAACCTTAATTATTTTGATTCATGTGGAGATCAAACTTTAAGATCCTATAAAAAAAAAAAAACAACAACTGTAGGTCACAATGACCTGTCAAATCCATTGAGAACACCGATAGCAAAATTTAAATTCTGGCCAGTACAAATATGCAGATTAATATTTTCATGTTTTGGCCAATAACTAATAAATGGCTGTTATTATAAATTTATACTATTTGTTAAGTGAGAGAGCAAGAGAGAGAATGAAAACTACAACAACAACAAAGTCTAATACTGTATAAATAATCTGTCTGCATGTGGAGATCAAACTTTAAGATCCTATTAAAAAAAAAAAAAAACAACTGTAGGTCACAATGACCTGTCAAATCCATTGAGAACACCGATAGCTACATTTAAATTCTGGCCAGTACAAATATGCAGATTAATATTTTCATGTTTTGGCCGATAACTAATAAATGGTTATTATAAATTTATACTATTTGTTAAGTGAGAGAGCAAGAGAGAGATTGAAAACTACAACAACAAAGTCTAATACTGTATAAATAGTCTGTCTGCTAAAGTGAAAATTGTATTTATGAGTACCTGCTATTGAAAACTGTAAAAATATAAAGTGGGTGCCTCTGGGATGCTGTTTAGATATTTCTTGAAAAAGTCTAGGTAGAGAATAGAGCTCAAAGAGTTATACCCAATGGATCTGAATGATTAGTGAGTGTGTAGAGAGTGCGTGTTTGAAATTACTGCCCACTGCAAATTAACACGTACAGTATAAAAAGGTTGTACTTTTAAGAAATGAACATTATACAACAATGCGCAAACGCACACAGCTTTGCAATCACTATAATTGCACAGCAACTCATTATGACTTGCCCTCTTAAAACACTGTTAAGGTGAAGATGAAACAGAGGTAACCACAGATATTTATCTGTATTGTGATGTATATCTAAGTAAAATGAATTATCAAGAAGAAAAACATGTTGGACAGGGATTCGGTTCCATCATTTGGTTGTTGATTGAATGGGCACAGATCTGAATGCAAACTTGTAGTTGAATGTAAGAAAGATGTGGACGCAGCAATGTTTGGAGAAGTTCAACATACATCCCTGGGGGAAGTATGATGTTTTACTAAAAGATCCAGAAATTTAGATTAAAGATTTTGAGGTCAAAATATGTATAGAGATATGTATGGATGAATCATTCACAATAAGATCAATAACATGCATTAAACGTGGAATTCACCGCTGACAAGATGGGCTTTTAATAAACATGGCTGTCTATACAGTAGAAACAAAAAAAGTAAATTGTAATTGTATAACCATAATTGTACTTCTGATTTTGACAATCTGACTCCATGGACAGGAACATAAAAATGCAACAGTTTCATACATAGCTTTAACAAAAGCCCTGGAGCTGTCAAGCATCTGCTGGATAACACAAAATGACACTTGTGCTTCATCCATGTGGACTTTTGCTGAAAACTGATAACTGAGATATCGGAGTGCAGGTAACATGAAAAAGAGTTCCTCACCGACATTTACATTCACTACTGACATTGTAGCAATACAAAGCTGGCTGAAAATTAGCAAAAAATACAAAGATAATCAACAGGGTGAATTTTTATTTTATGCTGACTTTAAATCTTTCTGCCATAATTTATGTTTTCCCTGTAAAATAGTGTTGGATAATGACAAAAGTAATCTAAAACTTAAAATTAGTGGACTGGAGGTTGATATCCAATACGTTGTATATCTATATTCATGACTATTGCTAAATCAGTCTTTAAGTGACATCTACTCTGAAATTAATGAACAGTTGCTGAGCAAGAAAACATGCCTCTTGTATGCTCTTCTGCCAACAACCTGTTCAATTATTTGCTTAAGAAATCAGAGTGAATGCTACTTATTTAAAGTCCGATTCTGTGGTTGAGATTATCAGTATTTTTTGTTATTTTAGAGATTTTTTTTTCTTTTAAAAAGAAAATATGACGACTACAAAACACTCAAATCCATCTTACCTAATAAGGTAGAGGCAGCTTCAACCGCTCCGTTGTAAACATGTTTGTTATCTGTGGCAGGGTAGACTTTATTCCACAGGATGTGCACATAAAATAGTACTAAATAGTAACCAGTGGAATTGAACACCCACCACAAGCTCCAAAGCCTTAAACTGGGAACTTTCACTACATTTTTTAACTCCTTCAGCATCTGAACAAACACTGTATTTGTCCAGGATGGGTATTTGTGGTTACTGCCTTGTGCTGCCACACTGCCATCATTCTCCTCAGGCTTCATTTTGGCCAATTCCGATTGAGCTGCTTCCTTCCTTTCCTCTTCCAGACGTGCTTGGTTGAAAAACAAGCTACGTTTGGGCCATGGCAGGAAGAAGGACAAGAATAACCCAAAAGTGACAAACCCCAGAGAGACTGCACTTAACATCCTGTATGATACACCTCCTAGTGACACACATATCTGACCCAGCACAGAGCTCGTGAAGACTCCCATGAGCACAGATGTGCGGGAATAGCTGGCTACACGCTGGTAAACAGTCGCTGGTACTAGTGAGAAAATGTACGAGGAGTACGCCACACGGGCAGCCATGGTGATGCCATAAAAGAACTCCATAAACTGCATCTCCAGCAATGAGGCTCCCAAAAGCAGGAAGAGCCAAATGGAAACATGGCTCAAGCTCTGAAGGATCAGCACAGGTTTGTATCGTAGGTAATCTGTCAGCAGAAAGACAGGCACCAGCACGACCATATAGGAATATGTGAGGACTGGGTTGATTTCATTGGTGACCTGTAAAAACCACAGAAAGCCATTATTACATGGGGTAGACAAAGCAGAGATAATTGTAACGTGCAATAAACATAATAACAATAATAGACAATGCACTCACCTTCACCACCAGGAATGTACAGTGTGAAATGTCAGATTGTGAATACTTTAATTGTTAACCCCAGGTAAAGCATGAACATTGTGAAAAAAAGATAATCCAGGACTTTGTTTAGAATGACCCAGCCCTTCTGTATGCCATCTGAAATAAGGGTAGTGCACATGGAGAACACATGGTATCCCACATTATACTTCATATCATTGTGGAAAAGGGGTTGATTTCGAACTACAGTTTTAGTCCATTTAAAAAGTGAATCTTTGGGGTGACTGAAATATGTATTTTCCTTATACACTACAGTGGGGAAAATATTTATTTAGGCTAATCCCCTGCTGATTTTGTAAATTTGCCCACTTACAAAGAAATGAAGGGTCTGTCATTTAATGGTAGGTTTATTTTAACGGATAGAGACAGAATATCAATGAGCTCCGTGCAAGATCTTGCCTCATGGGGTAAGGATGATCATGAGAAAGGTGAGGGATCAGCACCGAACTACACAAAAGGAGCTTGTCAATGATCTTAAGGCAGTTGGGACCACAGATTAAGAAAGGATCTGTAAAGAGGAGTGGATCAAAATCCCTCCTGAGATGTGTGTGCAAAACTGGTGACCAACTACAAAAAATGTCTTACCTCTGTGCTTGCCAACAAGGGTTTCTGCACCAAGTACTAAGTCATGTTTTGCTTGGGGATCAAATACTTATTTCACTCACTGAGATGCAAATCAATTTCTAACCTTATATAATGTGATTTTTTTGGTTGGTATATGTATGTCTCTATACATTCAAATAAACCTACCATACAAATTACAGACCCTTCATTTATTTGCAAGTGGGCAAACTTACAAAATCAGCAGGGGATCAAATAAATATTTTCCCCACTGTATATTGCCAAAAGTATTGGGTCACCCCCTTCTACTGAACAGGTCTGACTACTTGCGGAATTTCCATGAGTACAAATCTTAATGTTTAAGCATATAGTAATATTCTAGGGAATTGTGACTTGTACATATGGGTACAGTAATTTTACACACTTCCAAAACTGTTGCAAAGGGGTGGAAATACAATTTTTAAATATATGAATTATGTTTCCATCTTTGTTGCCACCGTTTTGGAAGTAACTTTTCCTGTTCTAAAGCAGGAGGTGTCCCAATACTTTTGTCCATATAGTATATGTACAAGTCATTGGTGTTTGGTGATGAGTTTTTGGCTCAAGGTCTGCATTTAAAGTCACACCAGAGGTGTTCAGCTGGGATTAGGACTTGGCTTTCTGCAGACCAGTCAAGTTCTTCCACACTGACTGAATCAATCATTTCTTTTGAAACCTTTCCTTATGCACAGAGGCATTGTCATGTTAGAATAGAAAAGGGTCATGTCCAAACTGTTGCTATAAAATCACCCAATTCCCTAGAATATCATTACATGCTTAAATATTAAGATTTGTGCTCATGGAAATTACTAAAGTAGTCAAACCTGTTAATTAGAAGGGAGTGTCCCAATACTTTTGGCAATATAGTGTATCACTGTTATAGCCCATAATTCATTATATGAGGATGTGTTTTGTAATGGATAACATTATTACGTCAACATAAAACAATAATTCACATTACAGAGGTTAATTTACGATTACATTTACCACATACTATTACAATTACACAGCATAAATGTAACATTGGCCTTTGCACTTCTAGTTTAATTGTAACTGACTGCAATACTGAAGTGACGTGACATGTGGCCAAGTATGGTGACCCATACTCTGAATTAGTGCTCTGCATTTATCCCATCCAAAGTGCACACACACACCGTGAACATACACCTGGAGCAGTGGGCAGTCATTTTTGCTGCGGCGCCCGGGGAGCAGTTGGGGGTTCGGTGCCTTGCTCAAGGGCACCTCAGTCGTGGTATTGAAGGTGGGAGAGAGCGCTATACAGTCAGATCAGACACACGTATGACACATGAATGTAACAGCTTTTAGGTGTCCTTTCATTTAATAAAACGTAATAAAAATATGTAACGTGAAAGATAACGTGGGCTAAACAGACGTGTTTTAATCCATGAGACAAACACTGGGCTAAAAACAAGTCAAAACAGGCACCTACTGTAATCTATTTTGCAGTATTTAACAGTGGAAAATTCCCATACAGATATTCTCTGTATGTGGTTGACTAATTTTATGGTTTTACTAACCTTATTTAAAAAACACCCAGTTAGAGCCTGATAAGATCAGTACATTGAGTACAAATTCATGAGGGTTTACAAGTGTTTACAAAAGTAATCTTATAGTTAATAAATCTACATATAATAAGTCAGTATAATTGTTTCAGTCCCTCCTCAAAGCAGATCTGACCCACTTTGGAGGAATGTGAACTCTGACCACATTCACATGGCTTGCCAGACCGCAGTAGCTGTGTCAAACTCACACAGTCACGTGTCGACTAGATATTAAGAAAATAAATAAATACATACTATAGCTGGGAAAAACACTCTCACGTTTAATTGTTTACAAAATTAAAAAAAAAAAAAACTTTGCAGTATAATTTATCAAGATTTAATGATTTTATATTTTAAATTCCCGTTTGTTTTTTTTCTCCCACAAATTTAGAAAAAGATTATTAAAGAATAAAAGTAGAATAGCACCACACCTGTTCACTAGTGAAGTTCTTCTCTGTACTGAGCAGGTATGGTGTGATAAACGGCTCTCCAGGCTTCAGCTGCACCATGAAGCCATAGAAACAAAGATAAACTACGGACCATATCCAGGTTCTGGTCTTCTGCGTTTGGGTTTCTGGATCTTCCTTGGTTTCATGGATGACCGGCTCTGGAGCCACATTTTCCACAGTGCGTCCATTGCCATCAGTCCTCATGTCCTCCTTAACATCCTCAGTCCTTTCATTGCATGTAATCACTTCCACCATGTTACAGCAATAATGATGCTGTAAAGCTGAACTATTTAATGATGGATAAAATACAAAAGGTATGTTGATCCTCAAAGTTAATAGCTGAAGGCTAAGCAGTGTTCACAGACCGGTAACAACCAAGCGACTGTACAAGCCAGTAAATCCTAAGGCATGTGTCGTGTTAACTATTACTGGGGGCTGAGAGGACACATTCATAATGATACAGCAATGTGTTAAACAGCTACAAGCTCACATTTTCTGTGTGTAAGCATTCACCTTTGTCCAACTTCCAACACCGTCAATGATTAAAAAGTACTACCTTAATGGACTGCACATTGTGATTCTGTAAAGAAGCACAAAGCAAATCAAATTGTTATATGGCAAATATGTACTCTAATGAGCATAGTTACATAATTAGCAAAAATATATATTTTTCACACCTAGTCTGTTATTTTCTTGTTCTAGGGTCTTATAAGAAATACACTTTTAACAATATATCAAACTGACATCTCTATCAGAACACTTATAGCAACGTGTCAGTCAAAGGAGTTTGCAAACATGTGCTCTTGTATCTAATGCATATAACTTACAGACGGCGTGAACTCACATTTATCCACAACTCAAATATGCAATGTCAGCTCTTACACACATCTTATGACTACGTCTGCTTGTTCATGTATAACAGTAAATTCTCGCAGTCTCAATGTTGTTTGCACATAATCCCACCAATATTCAAGTAAGGATCGAGTTGTTTCGCGTTAAACTTGCCTGTTGCTTTCCTGTGGTCAAATTTAATCCTTTCTTGCTGAGGCTGACGGTGACCTAATAATATATACTACTTAAAATAATATAGTGCAAGTTATTTAAGCGACAACAACGCGACAGACTTTAACCCATCGGTATTGGATAACCAGACGTTCCAGATATGTCACTGAAAGCAGTTCAGTCTAAAATCCACGAGTCACTCGGCTGCAGTTGCGCGCGCCCAATGACCCATGGTCTGCGCATGCGCACCGGATGTTTATCTTAAATTGATGAACGAATCGTTCTTTAAAATAATCTCTTTAATGAGCACCTATGGAAACAACATAACCATGGAACATTTCACATAACCGGTCTAAATGATTCGTTCAGAACGAATCAGCCTCGAGTTAACTGAATGAACTGAGCCGATATTCAGTGTCTCTGGGGAGTTTAATCCTGAAGTCCACTCTATATAAAATATATTTATTTTTATCCGAAAGAATAATTTGCCATGTGTGTTTTGAGAATTTCTAATTGGAAGCGTTTATCTGCAACATGAATTCTATACAGTTAACATCAAAATATGAAGCTGTTGGGGGGTTTTTTTTGTTTGTTTTTTCACATCGTAACATATGCTTTCTAGCTGGTCTATTACAAGCACTGGAGAGAAAACCCATCGCTCTAGGCTTGCACCTAAAACAAAGATAAAAAGAATTCAGAATGTTACAAAATGTGAACATTATTCTGTAGTTTGTGTATGTGCTATGATACCTTGCCAAAGGAGGGCGCTCCAAGCATGGTATGTAAGAAGGTCTAGTCCTTGTCATTTGTTGTCCATGTTGTGTATACGTTGTTTTCTGTAAAGTGGAGATGGAATGAGTTAGGATGTCTTACCCATAGACTGTATAAAAACAGGTTTTACCAACAGAGGGCACTCCAGGGTGCGTAAGATAAATATATCTGAGCACCACTAGGGGATCTTAGTGATGGGAGAAACGAACCATTTCGAAGCTTCGAATCAATTGAACCAATTGCTTCGCAAAATGATTCACTGTTTCGAATCGCTCGAAACAGCACACGCTAGTGATGCCTGCTGGTCAAAACTGTGTAAATGCAACAAAAACTTGCCAAAACATGCATAAAAACAGCTTTTCCAAGTCCATGTTGTGTATACGTTGTTTTCTGTAAAGTGGAGATGGAATGAGTTAGGATGTCTTACCCATAGACTGTATAAAAACAGGTTTTACCAACAGAGGGTAAATATAGAGATAAATATATCTGAGCACCACTAGGGGATCTTAGTGATGGGAGAAACGAACCATTTCGAAGCTTCGAATCAATTGAAACAGTTGCTTCGCAAAATGATTCACTGTTTCGAATCGCTCGAAACACCACACGCTGGTGATGCCTGCTGGTCAAAACTGTGTAAATGCAACAAAAACTTGCCAAAACATGCATAAAATGCACAGCTTTTCCAAACCCAATGAAAACGCTTTCTTGAAAGTATAATATATTAAATGCAATCAAAATAATAAAATACCATTAAAAATAAAGTGTCTGGCCTATGCGTCTTTAAAATAATAATTATTATTAATTTGCAAGGACTTGTTTTGTTTGTTTTATGGAGAGCTTGTCTAAACAGGCCAGTAAGAGACTACTACTCATCCTTTTATTACACAGATGTCTCATTAAAAATGTCCACAAATTGATCAAACTGATCCGAGATCGTATAACCATAGACGCTGATGCAGTGGTTCGCCGCTACGGGGCGATCTCAGTGAACTCGCATGATTCACGGGTTCACAAATGCCTTGTCCAAATACCCACACTCGCGGTCTTTGCGATGAATGAGGTTAAAATTTTGTGCAAATCGTTAGAATTGATTAAAAACAAGAAAGCTCTCAAATTGATTTCGTTTTTGGGGCATGTATAATGTAAAAAGCCACTTTTGGTTTGTTTTATTTGTTCTATTTATTTATTTATTTTATTTTGCTTCTAATTAAGTGATAAAAAGCAGTTGCAAATGTTGTACAAAATAAATATCACCACTACTCATCTTTGCACCAATAAAACGTAAAAACACTGTTTTTCTACCAAATTATATGTAATATCTAATTATTATATTAATATTTAACTGGCATTGGAAAGGTTTCCGCGAGATCTCGGCAAAAAGTCTCACGATTTATTTCCAGAACATGATGCATGATGGCACTCACTAAGCCTCGAATAGCGCTCCGGAGGGGTATTCGAGATAGTGTGGATTTAGTGTGCGTTATATTAAGGGCACTGCGCTTTGCCGTTTTTAAGACCTGGGACAGTCTTGCGCACTTACTTCCTGTCGCGCGCACGCGCTCTCAAAGTGGCCAAGACCGCAAGTGTGGGTATTTGGACAAGGCAAGAGATCTCCCCAAGGCGAACTATTGAAATTTCGAAACGTTTCGAAACAGTTATGACCTAACGAAGCCTCGTTTACTGACATCACGTGACTTTGGCATTTTGATACGCGCTCCGAACCACTGTTTCGAAACAAGTGATTCGCAAAGGTTTCGAAGCTTCATGAAGCACTGTTTCAAAAACGGCCATCACTAGATCTTCTTAAACATGGCCAAACCTGGGGGCGGGGGCTCAATTTTCATTGTACTGAATGTTGTGAAGCACCATGTACTCTGTGGAATCTACTTCTGTGGGCCAGGTTCAAATTTAGCAAAAGAGTGAGATGTTGAAGCAGTAACAGTAAAGTTCATTCAGGTGACAACAATTGTCCCGTACATTTTACACCCCTGCTTTGTAATTGCATCAACAACAAACTATTTACTTTCACAGTTCCTGAGTCTAATTAACTATTTCAAAAAAACAGTGGCTGACATCAAATCAAAACTAAAATATAAATCACTTCAAGGAAATTATTTATCACATTACCATCAGCAGCATGTCATGTGTTTTCTATTGTGCTCATGCATTGTGGTCCAGGTCATGAGTGCAAAAGCTTTATGGTAAAGACAGACTCAAGCTGTTGCCTTTTGTTCCTCTGAGAATAAAGGAACTGCAGCATCTAGCTGTTGAGATGGACACATGATTCTTTAATGTTAGTGCAATGGTGCACAAAGTCCTCTACTGCACATATTTTGGTGCTGAAAACAAGTGTAAAAACTATTAATCGTCATCATCTTTAGAAAAATGTATCCTGTAAAGTCTGACATATAATAACTAATAAAAATCTAATTTGCCTTAGTCCAGTAAGGTCCAGTAATCTTGAAATATTATAGTTAAAACTTATTCTTATGTTTACTTTTTTTTTTAAATCAGTGAAGATTTTGACACAAAAAAAAGGCATTTTAGAATTATACTAAAAGGCCTTTTATTTGCTAAAAAATTATAAACTATCAATCAGATGATGAAGGCATGTAGACCACTTTTTCAGCAAAGTTTTGATTGTGTTGATCTATTAAATTTAGAGGCCTTAAAAATATGTGTATAAAATATGATACTGTAGGATTTGTAGGGTTAAATTAAATAGGTAAAATTTAATTTTATTAATTTAAGCATCAACCTTGGTCCGAAACCTGGTATGTTGTTACCACTTCTCAAACCAGAGAATTTCCACTTTTCCTTACTTTCATAGGCATCAGGTTCACTGTCCTCACTACTGTATCTGTTCTTTTAAAACGGTGGTTATGAAATGTCATGACTGTATCACTACATGTCTGCAAAAGTCAATACTCATCAGGCTGAGGTATATTTTCATTAGTAAAATAAATCTGTTTTGCTAATTACAATATACCGGTAGTCAATATAGACTATTTTGTAACACCACTTTAAAGAGTGGCCTTTACTGAGTATTGAGATTCCTATAGGATGCTTCTCTGTCCTTCACGCCTCTCTGGGCCCATCAGATCACTGAAATAATGTGTACCAGGGCCTGTCGATGACTAAATAGAGGCTGCAATACAGAGTGGGTATTGTGATAAAGACCATGCTGGCCTGTCATGCATTCATCAAATTTAGTACCACTATACTGGTCCTGAAAAGTATCAAACCTTATATTGTTTAATGAATGACTTTAAATAATACCCTAAAAGTGTCATATCATGACATGATCAGACTGTATAAAAGCTCACAACTGACACAATTTTGAGTATGTTTGACTTACATGCACACACACACTATCTACTGTACTATGTTGTTTTTCATTGTTAGCCCATGTTTTACATATTTGTTTTTCCACCTTATTGACTTTAGAATAAATATTTGTATTAAAATGCTTAAAATGGCATTTTCAAAATAAAATGAAATTTTCAAAACAAAATAAATGTGTGTACAAAATATAAACTGTTGTCTATGTTTTCTGTTAGTGTTACAACCCATTCCACCTACTGTTACAACTTACCCCAGCACTATGATAGATTGTAACAACAGCACCCTTTGTACTTGACATTAAATCTAGGGTAGGCAATTATTTCTAGTAACATTTTCCTCACATCCTGCAAACAATAATTAAAAAGGGGTCATGAACTGTGAAAACCAAAATTCCCTTGATCTTTTGATAGGTAAGAGGTCATTGTGCTGTAAAAACATCCTGTAAGTTTCAGAACTCAAA